TCTTGCTCCACTGGGCACCATCAGAGAGGAAGTAACCAGTGATCTAAGGAGTGAGTCCAATGTTGGAGTTAGAAGTGATCCTGAAAAGTGGAAATTACCTTAACTTTTTCCATCAAGTACAACTCCCTGTAAATTAGCGAGATCGGGGTATGCCAGGGGAGAGGTTTACATTATTATGACCTTTACATTAATTCGCGTTAATTTCTACGAGGACTATATGTCAACAGAAAACATTGAGCTCTTCCCAAGCTTTTGAAATGTGTTTGTGGCGTGGGGAGGATACATTAGGTAGCATGAAGCCATGTGGCAACCTGCTGCCAGCCAGACGCCACACTCCCAGTTATTAATCACAAATTTTACTTTAGTCATTGTCTTGGTCTCAGCAACTAAAATCGCCAGTCATTTTCTCGAGTTTTAGTCACTCACATCCCTTAGTTAATTCACCTACCCTTGACCTTAGCTTTCCTGTTGGAGGTTTCACACAATGATGTATTTGTTTATCCTGATTTGGATATACTGGGCAATCCCAAAATGGACCTGTTGTATTCTGTTGCATGAAGACACCAACTCCGTCTCTCCATCCGTATCTGCAGTTAATTTTTCATATTACCTGTATATGCAAGAGTCATATGCAAGGGAGTCCTGTTGTTGACTTCACTCGCAAATCCATCATATTCTCAAGGTTTGGTTCCTTTTCGTCTTAATTCCTCAATGACTGGTTTAATTTAGTATAAAATGTTTTTGTAGTCCTCGTCTTAAATCGCGTTAACTGAAGTTGTCTGATTCGTTGTGCTTTCGTCACTCAGTCGTGTCAAATTTCGTCATTAGTCGATATCATCACATTTTAGTCAATTTTAGTCATTTTCTCATGACCTACAATTTTCGTCTTGTCGTTATCGCCGACACAAATAAAAACCCTCGTCGATAAAAATCATCGTCTTGATTTTCGTCAATGAAATTTGCACTGCTGGCCGAGCAGCCTAATGATTTAGTATGACTGCACCCCCTCCGCAGAGGAGTGATCTTGCGTGATGGATGGAAGAGTACCCGCTTCCATCAATCGTGGGTTCCTTTTTTTTGTTTATTTGAGTTGTGTTGAGGTGGTCACCATATAAGATGAAAAATTGCCAGCAATTCTATCCCCCCTACCCCCCCCCCCCTAAAAAATCAATTTTGAGCACCTTTTACTTACGTTGTCTGCTGCACTATTAAGACTCCACCAGGAATTTCACGTTTCATTTTGGAGGAACTTGCAAGTAAAAGTAATTTAGCTTCTTCATTTCTAACTGCAAGAGTACATGCTGAATCCACTTTCATCTACATAGGCATGCTTTGAGGGTATGCGCTTTATATATTTTGTGCTGGATGCAACTCGTATATGGGGAAAGAGATAGAGTGAAAAGAAAGGACTCCGCTCTCACCCTTCGCAGGTCGGAGACGCAAGTACATTGACCCAGGGTTCTCAAGAGGTTAACCGTTAACGACTCTGGAAAGGCTCAAGGATGGGCTACTAAAATCATGAGAAAATTTGAAGATTTTAATATCAAAAGCTTTTAGATGTGTTGGGACGAGCTTGAGAGAAGGATAACGGGAAGGATCTCGTCCAGAGGTTCAATATCATACCTGTAATAGGAATCGATGACTTGAAGCGCGGTAGATTTTTCCAAGTTGATAATAAAGGAGGAACCCAGGTTAGAAGAGTAGATAAGGTTGGGTCGAAAGCAAAGCCCCGAATAATGGCGGTTCTAGCCCTAGGGCAAATGACGTCACTGGTATACACCAGCCTCGACTGCTCCATTCTCGCCATTGGTTTTCCTCCGATGTAATGATATTATTTGAAGCGTAATGTCAAAAAAAAAAAAAAAAAAAAAAAAAAAAAAAAAAAATTTAGCTTTAAGAGGGTTAGGCCTACCCTAAAATTAAGGAACGCTCGACCTCGACACGTGATATCGAATGGGTGAAATCGCCTCTTGATATCACTAACTATTTTGAATCTTGACAAAAATCTTTGGTGGAGGTGGTGGTTGAGGTTGAAGAAAGGGAAAGCCTTTGGTTTTCACATTACTCCAATCAAATATTGTGTTGGCTGCCTTGACCGTACAGAACAGTGGAAAAGGTAGCAAAAGCTCCGGAGGAAAACCTCTTCCCTAGTCTGAAGGACCACTTTTCCGAGTGTACTTTCGATAGAGAGCCTCATGTGGCTGCTTATCAAGAAGTTATTTCATGCATTTTTGCGCATTCGAGGAAGGACGTATGCCAGGGATATCACCAGAAAGGTTCGGGGTCCCTCAGTGAGGCATCATAATTATAAAAACACCCTTTTCAGAGGACAGTGATGATTTTTATAAATCGAGGTGAATTTTCAGGTCACCAAGTTTTCAAGTCAATGGTGAATCTGTTTCATTGAAATAAACCTAGTTATTGCATCCATTCTCTACTTGCATTGGACACTTCCTTTCCAAAATTGTGATATGATTTCTAAAGTTACTTGATCACAAATATTTTGTATGGCCATTATTTCATGCAAAGTTAGCAGAAGTTTACTACTGCATTCATCTACTGGTCCTATTAAAATTGCACATTGGCAAGTTTTCCGTATCGTGAGTTTCGTCAGCTGGGAAGTTTTTGGATCAGGTTAGTCTTTCTTAATGTGTTTGAGTTATGGTTAACTATTGTGAAGTTTGCAAGGCTAGTAATCTCACGTGTGGCGACAAATTGGCTGCGGACAATGGGGGAACTCATTGATACCGTTGCGAAGTATAGGTAGGAGCAGCGACTCCCAATAATATGAATAATAATTATTAAAAAAACGCGCGCATGAGACGCTGCAATCACTTCATTCCACCACGATTTCTCATTCCTGCCGAATAACCATGGGCCTGCACGTGTCGTGAGGTTAACCTGACCCCAGGTTAGAAGAGTAGATAAGATTGAGTTGAAAGCGAAGCCCCGAATAATGGCGGTTCTAGCCCTAGGGCAAATGACGTCACTGGTATACACCAGCCTCGACTGCTCCATTCTCGCCATTGGTTTTCCTCCGATGTAATGATATTTGAAGCGTAATGTCAACATTTCGTAACCAATCGCTGATTTAAAAAAAAAATCCCTTAAATTGAAGAAGGGAAAGCATCGAATGGGAAAGAGGCGGGGAGGATTCCGTACTGAAAAGTTTGAGGAGGGTGTGACTGTAGTGAGAATATATTATTATTTACGGAAATTGTTAACATATGTCATTTGCCCTTTTGAAATGCCAATGAAAATATGAGTTCATTGTCAGAGTTCCTCGTTCTGCGTTGCTGAATCCCCAAATCAGAGGAATCGCGTGATTTTCACGAACACCATGAAGATATTCCTTCTCGCAAACTTCAACGAAAGACTTCCGTTCCATTCTCACCTTCTTGCCCTTGCTGAGCAGAATTTACGAAGAGAATCCAGGTGAACAGCCGCGTTCTTACAGATATTCCGGATACTCGATGGTAGACTTGGAATTTCGATTGGACCATCTCGGCGAAAGATGACAATCGACCCCAAAGGGTTGTTTTGGGATCCCTCCCTCAGTCTACTTCAGGAATTTCATTTTCCGCGCGTTTCCACCGCATCACTTGGGTCTTTCACAACCCAGGTTCCTTTGAAACGATGAAACGAACGTTTCTCTCCGTCGGCTCAAAAATCATCATATGTTCTTGCAGGCGGCGACTGTACATAGGATCGGCATCTGCGAATGCTACGAACCTGGCAGCGCCACAATCTAGAGATGCAATCGTTCAAGCGCAATAGAATGGAGGTGCAAAGAGCAAGGCAATATGGCAAGGAAAAACTGACCGATATTACATTTTTAAAAGAGGAGAAACAGACTAGAAAAAGGAGATTTTATCAGTCAGCCGAGGAGGGTGTATACCAGTGACGTCATTGGCTCTCTCTCCCCACCCCCCGCTGGGATGTAGCCCAACCTTTTCTACTCTTCTGACCTGGGGAGGAACCTTTTCAAGTTGCGTTAGCCCCAAGTGTCGTCAGGGTGCGGAATGACTTCTTTCCATGTGGGGGTACCCCAGCTTGCCCAGATAGTAGACTTCCTTCGGCCCAGTGGTGGGTAGTTACTAGCCCGAGTGGGATGGGGGCAGAGTGGCGATACACATCTAGCTCCTACAAGGAATCCATGCCTCTCATAAGCGTCAACGTATTTCCAGAAGCTGGGCCAGCAGTGGCAAGCTGGCAGAACTAGGTAGTGATAGTGGGGGACTCTGGTGGCAAGTATGGCATAAATATCAGACCTCCACTTGCATTGCGTACGGTCTGTCAGGGCTCTGCTGTCTGGGTCAGCATGGATCCCTTGGGTGAATACTGACATCGGGGAATGGATTTGTCCAATATTGCTCCGAGCTATTTTGGCAGTACTGCATGCCAATATTGAGGAAGTATACAGGAACGCTATTGAAGGATGATGCAACGGCTCCTCCTCCGCAACTAACTTCAGAATACCTTTATAGATAAAATATAGGGGGGAAAGAGCAAATGCTGTAATTATATAAGCAGTAGGCAGGCAAGCACATCCGAATCTCTACCTCCAGGAGGGCTAGACTGACTTATCTGAACACCTGAACTTGACAGGGGATGTCCGCGTCGGCGTAAGTGCTTCTTGGCTATTCCTGCCTAAAACTTGAATCTTGGTCAAAATAACAAGGTCCACTTTACTACTTTTCCTTTCGTGGCAACACTGCCTTTTATCAATGGCGCTAGCCAGTCTCGCGCTGCATTCTCCCACGTGTGGAGCTCTCACCTAAATATTCTCACAGATTTTTCAATAGTTCTTGCATAGGATAGGTTGGGATGTTATTCTGCTTGAGGCGATTAGGAAAAGCTTAATTTAGTTGAAGATAGGCCATGCACTAACGTTAGCACGTCATAACGCTGTCTAGGCTTAAGGTTAAAGTTAGGTCTAATCATTGGTTGTATTTGAATGCAATGTCAAGTTTAACATATTTATTGCAGTGGAGAGAACTATGTCTACAGACATCAAGCCAGAAGAAAGTGAAGAAAAGAATCCACATGAGGTGAGGGTAATTCTGGTTCGTGTGATTGGGAGCATATGTAAGAGTGATGATATCACAAGTTCATCAGAAAACATCCACATTCTTCTGAACTCTGTGGTAGACCTCATCAAAAGCAACAGCCCCGTTATCTTTGAAGCAGAACATCAAAAGCGTGATGATGTGATCAATAATCAATCTGGTTCTTCCTTCGACTATTTTGGTGAGTTTCTAAGAAACCTCTTTAACCCTTTGTACTCCATTTTTCTTGCAATGCTATGGACATTGTCAGGCCATGCCTGACAGTCGACCACAAATGGCTAATTCAAATTTTGCAGCGTCTGCTGCCAGTTTATTTTTTCTTTAGGTCTTTTCTAGCTTCTCAATGACATTTCTGGTTTTTCTTTTGATATATCAGGACAAAATGTATTTGTCTTACATTGCATGCATTACTGGAATTCAGGCACCACATCCTCTAATGTCTCCTATATCCACTTCTAAAGCAGCTAGGCCAATGAGAATTTCCCTTAAAAAAATGTGTATATCCCTGGCTGCTCTGAATCTTGTTATATCGAGAGTACTATAGCTACTACTTCATTCATATCCCTTTATCTTGCCTCTCCCGATGAGCTCAATGATAAATTTCTCAAACTTTTCATGGTGAATGTTATGTGCTCCATCCCCCTAATAACTTTTGTTTGTAGACTTTTGTAACGTTTTTGTTTTTGTTTTTGTTCACTGCTACTCATGTTAATGTTGTCAATGGGCCAAATGTTTTAATTGTAATAGGGACAGCGGTATGCTTCTGCAGGGCTTTGAAACAGGTCGGCATGCATGGGTTTCCCTGGAGACAATAATGTTTTGGATATACCTACATCTATGACAACCCTGACTAGACAGTCACTTTCATGTAGTGAGGCCCATCCATTCTTCTGTAGACTTGTACATGGCTCAGGGAAGTATCCCACTGCATGCACTTCCCAAAATATGGAAATTCTATGCATTTTAGATGGATGGAACAATTATATAAAAGTATGTATCATCATATGAGCTGGTTTGTATGAAGGTTTGAACATTGTCCAATTGGTGTCTAATTTGAAAATACCAATACCTTTGTACTCTATGCATTCTATTTTACATTACAACATGGATATGAGAAAGTATGGTTAGATACTTGCCATGTTTGTTGTGGGATACATAGTGATATACAGTACAATGTTCTTTAACTCATGACTTGATATGTTTTTGGGCAGACATTTAAGCATATATACAGGGTATGTAATAGGGATGCACTGATACCGATCCAAAGTATCGGTATCGGTCGATACCAAGTGGATCCACCAGGATTAATATTGGCCTATCCGATCTGATTCTCCCTTGCCACATACTATGCTTAATGCGCAGCACGTACATTTTTGGAACGTCTCATGAAAAAAACAACATATGTAATGGCATTCAGTTCCTTATGTCTGTCATGGTTCTTTTTAATCTCCAACTGATAGACAATGAGCTTGAGCATGGTTAAAGTGGAATGTGAGAGATTTGAGAAGGACATTGTACGAATGGAATGGGCCAGCGTCATTCACGTATGCATTCATTCCTTCACTTTCCCCGATTCCATCCCATCTCCTGCCTTCCTGTGCTGACTCCATGCAGGTGCACAATGTGCTCATGTCCATCCCACCTCTGGCTCTCCCCTTGAGCATCGATCCTGGTTGTGCAGTGGTTGCATCAACTCCTTATTCCCTTAAGGACATTAGATGTAGTTCCTACCTCTTTGCACTGATTGTCCTTTGTATGTAGTACTTACATCTGATGTATTCTTGGCAGGCCTGGTGAATGGTGGGGGGAAGTTTTGGCCTTTACTCAAGAAGCAAATATATTTCCGATGTAAATGTCTCCAAAGCTAAATAAATGACAGGAACTTTGAATTTTGGGTCATTAGTGTCCAGGGACTGTTTTTATTTCTTCCCTTCTATGCCAAAGGTAGCATAAGGCCTACTCAGGTCTGGTCTTGTATTATTGGTTTCATTCTGACAGGCACTGGGAGCTATTGGTATCGGTATCAGCTATTCCTGAATCGGTGCATCCCTAGTATGTAATATTGAACTATTTATATATTATACCATACTTAGTACCATGTATATAGGATAATATCTGAAGTGTGAATGCTGCAAAAGATTACCAAATGTGCCCTGAAGTGGACTGGACAATAGATCACCATCAAAGGATTATTAGGATTTGAATCTGCATCACCCACTGCTTAGCCCTTTAATGCATTATTTTTTATTTTTCAGCAAAAAAAATCTGGTAGGTTTCACTCATGTCCTAGAACACAGGTCAAGTGGAAAAAATTGTTTAAAATCAAATTTGTAAGCAGTAGGCCCAAAAATGTTATTGTTGCTCATTTTGCTACAAACATCATTTTCATCTTTCTTACCTGCACTGCATGGATGCTAGAGAGCTCAGTCAGTCTTATCATAAAATTATATCAAAAGTGTCAATCTGAAATGAAGCCAGATTGATTTTAATTTGCTTGCCACCAGGAGTGTATGGCATTTAGTGACTGCATAGTTGCTAGGTATAAGGACCGGACTGTTGCACATCTGCTATGAACAACTTTACCTCAGGAGCTCACTACCTGTGCATTCTAAAAATGTTTATTTGGCATGCAGCATATCTGCTACATCATGCATTAAAGGGTTAACAGATTGAAAGTCCAGCACATCAGCAACAGGGCCATTGTATCAGTAAATCTTGAACATACTTCCCTACTGAGTAGGGTGTGCTGTGGACCTCCCTTGTGCCTACCATGTTTGCTGTAATCCTCTCCCTTTCATCATCTACAGGGTGTACCAGAAGTCCTGCCCAACATTGTATATATCTCTTGCAGGCATACATGGCAACACTCCTATGACCTTGCCATGTATAAATAGCCTAGAACCTCCTTTACTGCTGTAGTTAGTTGATTTTAGATGGAAATTGCAAAAAATGCATTCTCATCACTAATTATTAAACCTCATCACTAATTACACCAGATAATCACAAAAAGAAAATCATACGCACAAAAAATTGAATGTCTCCCATTCGATTTGTCACAAAGACTTGCTTCATAGTATGGTTTCCTACACTAACTGTTCTTTCCATGGACTGATGCTGATGTGTGGTCTCCTCAACCTCAGCCTCTCAGATATGCTTCCTGTTTCTATCAGCTTCTTCCTCCATGCAGAAATTGTTTTATGATATGGTGCAGGATGGTTGAAATCTCTTGTGAACCTTTGTGCACTCTCACGGTCATTGTCATAAGTAATAGCCCACGCTGCAGCTTTCACTTTTTCTTCCAAACTCCACTCCATTTTCCCTGTCCAAACTGCCAAAACTAACTATAGCAATAAAGGAGGTTTTCAGCCATTTATGCATGCCAAGGTCATAAGAGTGTTGCCATGTATGCCTGGAAGAGATATGTACAATGTTGGAGCAGGACTTCTGAAGCACTCTGTAGATGTTAAACATGCCCCCATGCATAATACTTGGATTCCCATTTTCCTCCTTTATGGGGAGTGTGACTCCTAGGGTGGGCAGTAGGACCTTCATTTCTGTAGCATAGGATTGGGGTGTATTCCATAAGATTGAAAAGATGCTGTTTGCTGCATCATAACCATGCCATTCCTCTATCAGTATTTACTTATAGGCCTACCTGAATAGCCAAGGAGATGGACTTAAAAGCACTGACATGAGAAGTCACCTTGTGTATACAGGGAATAGAAACTTAAGCAATTCTGAATTGGCTTTTTGAGGTGCAGCTATTTGAATTTTTGCCAATTTTATCAGGTTAGGTGGTAGTCACTCAAGCACTTGTAAACTTTGTTATAATTAACCTAGGGAGCTGAAAGTGGTGCAGTTTTCCATGTCCTTTTTAGTTTATTTGTATTATATGGAGTTTTAATCGAAACAAAGGTAAAAGGCCGTTGATTTTGACCTTAAATTACAGAAGAAAATGTCAGTTTCTTCCAGTGGGGTTGTCTCAAGCTTCAAACTTTACTTTAATTGAGGTCATGCTACTTAATCAACTCATAAACTGTTGCAAAAGGGTGTTGACATGCCATGTGGGTGTTGGAATATCAGAGCAATCTGTACCATTTCTGACCTACCAGAGCCCTGAGAAGGGCTAAATGGAATAAATGCTTGACTGAAAAAAAAATTTTTTTTATTTTTTAATATTTATTTTCTTTTCTTTTCTCTTAAATAAATCTTTTTTTTTTCTCCATATCTAGTGTTATTATCTGGATCTGATCAACTTCACAAAGTTTTAATGCACTAATACCAGGAATTACTTGCTGCATTCCAAACACAGAGGAGTTTCATTACCAAAGTTTCCCAGTCATCCCACATGCTCCTTTGGCATCCACACACCCTCTCAACATCTTTTTACTTCATAATTATGGTAATAAAAAATATATCAACAAAAAATTGGTGTTGAAGGGTTTCGTCATATATCCTCCCTTTGACTGAGTTCAAGCAATGCTTTCCTATCAAAACTTATTTAACATGTTGACGACCAGCCTATTTTTGCTTGTCCGCCGCATGGGACCATGCGCATTTTTTTTGTCAAAAAATGCGTCCTGCCATCAGAACGCATGGTCCCAGAAAACATTTTTTTTTGCCGAGTTTTTTTAAAATGTTGAATTTTTTGGAATTTTTACGTCCTGCCATCAGAACGCATGGTCCCAGAAAACTTTTTTTTTTGCCGAGTTTTTTTAAAATGTTGGATTTTTTGGAATTTTTATCAGTAATTACGAAATCATAATCTTCTGGAACGTTCTCAACAGTTCCAGAGGGTATTCATTGAAAAAAAATCAGCATCCTGGCATCAGGACGCATTGTCGCCAACGTGTTAAAGGAGCAATTATCCTTTGTGCTTGGTTGATGTCTCTATGTATGTGCTTCTGACTGACTGAGAAAAAGGGTTTGCAAGCATTGATTAATCCCCTTCATGCATAATGGTGTTGCATTTGTTTGTGGATTGTTTAATAGCTGTAAAGGAAGAAATAATCATTGAAAGATGCAGGTGTAACTCCTGCAAGGTCTCTGTATTCTGTTTTGGAAGGCATTTGATCCAGTTTAATACTATATTGTCATCATGAAAGAATCCTCTTGGATCCCTCCTGTTTCTAAAGATCCATATTCGTATGTGACCTATTTTGGCTCATGTTCGAGGGTCTGTGGCCTGAGCAGAAATCTCAGTTAGGCCCTCTAGGAGGAAAAGGTTGTGCACCACTGTACACCACCTTAAGCTTAAAATCCATCTTCTTGCCTAGTTTAAATTCATGGTTTTTGGATCTATACCATTCAAGTGGTTGAAAAAGAGCAGATTAGAATTTGCCGTATTCAATTATGTGAGGTAGGGGGGAGAAATTTAAGGCAGAGTTTGGAATTCATCTCATTTACCCAAAATATTGCATCTCATTCAAGACATTAAAGGATAAAAAAATTAGTGATATGAAGGGATGCAGGGAGAGAAAGTATGTGAATGTATGTGCCAGAGACACTTGAATTCTTTTGGTGGAGATGTGCTGTTTTGTTTGGCATTTTTTTATTATGTATGACATGAAATGGTTTGCTGGATACAGGAATACAAGGTGTGATCCAAAAGTTTTGGGAATTCATTGATAAACAATACATAAGATGAAATGCAAAATATTATGCATGATCTTCTTCAAAATAGTCCCCTCCGTGGTTGATACAGCGAGTCCACCATGTTTCAAAACAGTGCTGGAACTTCAACTGAGGGATATTGCTCTGTACCGCCAGCGTGTTCTGTGGAATCTCTTCTACGCTGTTAAAACAAAGCCCTTTCAATTTGGTTTTCATTTTTGGAAACAAAAAAAGTCTGAAGGTGCTAAATCTTGCAGTTGAATCCTTTGGCAGCTGCCATAGGAGAGGTACGTGAGGTTGACTACATCAAGGATGGTCATTCGCCTATCTGACTGAATGAGGTCACTGATGAGGGGAATTTGTTCATCTGTTCTTGCAGTTGAAGGACAACCTAAACGTTCTACATCTTCAGTGCTTCCCAACCTGCCATTACATTTTTTATGCCATTCGTAAACTCTTTTTTTTGCTCATTTTGCCCTCGCCATAAGCTTATGTCAGCATTTGGCAAGTTTCTGATAGTTTTTTGCCCAATTTAAAGAAAAATTTCACAAAAACTCTTTGCTCGCGAAGGCTCATCGTAGATGCACTTAGACACGACCTCACTTAAACTGCTCTGGGAGCCAACTGAAGGGCCCTATATTGGTCAAGGTCATATCATTTGAAACATAACGGACTCACCACTACTCCTACACAACGTTTTAATGTTAGGTTCAACAGGTGGCGCTCTAGAGGTCAATTCCCAAAACTTTTGGATCGCACCTTGTATATGAGTATTGGATGGATTAGAGTGCTTCTAGCCAGATGGCAGTTTCTAGGTCATTGTAAATTCATATTTGAAGTGGTGACTTGATGTGGCATACAACATCTGGTTTGATATATAAATTCGGTTCACAAGTAGCATGGATAGGCCTACTATATATTATCATTTGGATGCTGGGAGTCTTTTCTTTTATTAGTGTGCTGCTGCCTCTATCTAGGTTTTCCTATAAGTGAATGTGACATAAATTCATATACCTAATGCCCTAGTGCAAGCAAGAGTTTTGTTTCTTTTTCCTTTATTAGAGAGTCTTCATGAGTTCTCTGTAGCAATGATTCCAATTTGTGAAAGCCTGTCATAAATGCTCATCTGTAATGGATCAGACATGGCATATCCTATGAAAATTTGTCAAGGTTTCCCTAATTGTTGCTTTCCTCGCTGCTGTAGCTTTCCTGAAGTGGCTGCTGCACCACCTGCTGCTTTTCTTGAGCAAAGATGGGCTTCAGGACCTTGGAGACAAATCTTTTTCCCTTGTTAAAGATATTCTTCTTGGTGTTGGTCATCATAGCAGAGTCCACTTCCAGCTCCTTTTCTGCCACCTTCAGTCTATGATGGAGAGTGAGTTGATGTGGGTGTATTGCACCTTCTAAATGTGATGCTAGAGCTGTACCAATCCTGATATTAGTATAAGCAGATACTTGCTGTAGTAGCTAATCAGAACTACCTTGCTGACATGAAAATGCCCAATAACCTCTTGTTACATATCTTGAATTCCATGATATACTGAGTTGTGCAAAGAAAAAAAATCTCCTGTTTGATGCTCTAAAAAACCTACTTTAGAAATGCAAGATTTGCTTCTTTTTTTCATCACATAGAAGAAACCCTAAAAAGTGTTTCTTAAAGTCTTTATGTTGTTTGGGTAAAGAGCAAAAGTTGTTGAAACCTCAATAATCAAATTCCCCTTTCCCACACATCTGGAGGCAGCAGTTTCAGCAGTCTTCTACAGATGTGTCACATTTTTTCCAAGAAATCCTGCTTCTTGTGGCTGCATTCATATTGCAATATTCTTGACTGTGCAGTGTCATCATGTTGCATCTTTCAAAGGAAGTCACTGCACTAATGATGTGTTTTAATGTTAGAGAGGGAAAAGACTATGCTGAACAGAGTCCACAAATTAATAATAAACTTTCATTATTCTCTCCCCTCTCCAGTTTTTATACTCTCAAGTCCTCATACATCAACTGTAGGCCTTATGGTCTCACCCGAGGACTAAATACACTACACAATCAAGAATACTATGGATAATACAAGGATGCAGCATAAAAAATAGTATTCATGGCATCAAAGAAGAGAAGTCTTTTGAGAAGTGCTGAGACTGCATCCACCTCTTGTGTGAAAAATATTAATTTTTTTTACTTGCTTTTTATCCAGATCACCTCAACACTTGAAACTTTCAGGATACAAATTTTGTGGTGTTTCCAATGTGATGCCAAAAGCTATGTACCTGGAATTCCTGCAATTGATTTCATGAGGTGTTAAACAGGAAGTGGTTTGGTTTTTTTTTGTACCACCCAATATGATGTATCAGGATATAAAAAGCATCTCAGTGCCTCAAATATGATCCTTCTGGATCAATGCATCTTTGAAGGCATGGGACAACTGGAATTTTTGCATCAATTACTTATTTTGATTTTTGCCTGTTAGTGAAGGAGGGGGGGGGGGGGGGGTTTTTTTCAGAAATTGAATAGCTAGGGGATTCTTTGTAAAAATGAATCCCAAGGGTTGGTATCTATCATCTCATGCTTGTCTGTAATTTTATTTTGTGCCTGAATTTTTGGGTGCCTCTCATTAAAGGAGTTCTGTTCTGTCACAGTGGAGTTTGAGAAAACATCCCTTTCACGTATGAATTTTTTGAGCAAAAGAAAAAGGTGCTTTTTTTTCATATTTAAGGAGGTACTCTGCTGTAGTAGTCCCACGTTTCACTGCTGGAAAGCAACAATGAACAGATTATGTGCACTTGAGTTGACTTCAAACATCAAAAGTTTCTAGGTATGTGTATCATGGCTAAAAAACCATCTTCATCACCAACTCTTTCATGCATGCTGTCCACTATAGTGGACACCATGCATGAAAGGGTTATTGTGATTTATTTATTAATGAGCAATCAATGTATGCTATACAATTCTAAAATGAAGTGAACATCTTGAAGTATGCAAGGTATTTAACTTTATCAATGCAAGTATTGGCCAGTTTGATATTGGAGTATTAAAGTTTTCATGGAATTCAGCATCAGTGCACTCTACTTGACACCATACTAATCAACATATTTTCTCCTCATAGAACTCCCAAAAATGCTGGAGGAGTTGGAGTCAGGCCATGAAGCTATCATGAGCTTGGTCTGTTTTGATGGAGAACCTCTATCCTTGGATGCAGGAGAATCTTTCCCTATCAGAAGCATTGATTTCTCTTCTCCAGAAACTTTAGAACACTTCACAGTGATCATGCTGAAGGTAAGATCTGTTCCAGAATCAATTCTGATGGTTTTGAGTGAGTGCCAAATCCATTGCCATAAACATAAAACATTCTTATTTTTGTTAGTCTTATGAGTGTAACAAAATGACCAATACAAGAATGCTTATGATGTAAGTAACCTAATTGAGATTAGCTTTATAAAGGAAGATTGTCTTTCTATCTTGGCAATGATTTGAATTTTCTTGAAGGTTGTGAAAGAGGTTGTCAACTTGAAGATATGGCTGAACCAGAATGAGAGAGATTGCTTCTTGACCATCCTTCATACTCTCCTTAGTGAAGGAGTGTTCTGCATCAAGAGGGCCTGTATTCTATTGCTCCAGGAATTTCTCCTGCTTGATCATCAGACCCCAAACACTTTGGTATGCATCATCATGTAAAGATGATGAAATACCGTTCTTTATTATGCTAGAATGAGTATTTTTGTGCTGGACAATGAAGCAGAATTCTTTCTTGCTATAAACAAAAGCTGGAATTGATACTTTTATAGTTGGAGGACAGTGTTTGGAGCTTAGTACTGACATTGATATCGTCTGTCATTGATGGGAGTGCATGGAAGTACATAACAGAAGGAGAAGGAAGACATGTTTTTCAAGATGAATTGGCAAGAATGCTTTCATCCCTACGAAAAGCAAGACCGACTGTGATTTCCATCTGGGTTGAATCTATCTTTATAAATGAGGAACTTATTCCTTCAGAGGCACTCAAAGGTGTGTTTCTTATTTACAGGATATGGCAAAATTAAAGGACAATGACTTTTAACTTGTGTGACTCACATCTCACATGAAACTTACATGTTCCAACAGGCTTCTGAAATTTCATTTGAATAGATATTGCCAAAGCAAAGCTATGATTGATTATTCAAAGGAAAGGTGAGAATTGGAATTAGACAGGGGACTCCAATCCTTACTGTGTGCCTTGTCCTCCTGTCTCATTATCTGATGAAGACTGAGAGAAAAATGAAGAAACTATGATTAAGATCTCTGTTTCAATATTTATTGATCCATTTTTCATCAATTGGAATATAGCTTCTCAAAATAAAAGGCCTGCCTAAGATAGGCATGCAATACCTCTTTCATTCAACTTTGCCTGGGGTACTCAAACTTTCTGAACTTATGGGTTGCATGAACAGTGACTCTCTCTCATGGAACCAATCATCTAAACCTTCATGCTAAAAGTAAATGACATCAAGGAACTAGATTATCTTTGCTGACTCTGTTTATGAGGGACAATGTTCATGGGAAATTTGAAGTAATCTTTGATCATATAACTTTGGAATACTTGTATCTCTCTACATGCCTGATTTGGCCCATACACTGCAGTTTGAACAACCCTAATTTATGTCATGTTTTGCCTTATGTGTGTCACATTACCAGAGATCTTACTGATCAGGTGGTTTGCTGGATGAGATGATGAAATGCATCAACATGTCTTTACACAATGGTCAATCTGCCATCGTTACCAGTAGGGCTGCCTCATTTGCCCTCACCTGCATGCGTAAAACAAAGGTAAAGAGTCCTACTCCATATCATAGATGTTTTAGTGTGTTGACAACTTGGGACCTGCATAATGTTTCATCCTTCAGTATGCTTGGGTTCCACTTCATCTGGCAATAAAGGAGAAATTAGGAGAAGTTGAGATGGAAGCCTTTAAAACTCATGGTATCACTAGAGGATTGAAAAGAAAGCACTCTGGCCCTCACACTGAAGTTGATCAGTGAGTCTCCCTCCAGATTTAAATTTGATTTTGAGATTTGGTGACATTGCCATAACCATAATTGAATTCTCTTGATGTCAACGTTTCAGGTGTGGTAAACCATCTGTTCTTCTATTGGAAAAGCTGAGCATTCAGGTTGAAGGTATCCTAACTGCTGGCACAGGTTCTCAAGAGGACACGATGCTATTATACAATGCTGTCAGAGCCTCATTATTCAAGCAAGATTCCTGCACTGTAGGTTTCAGCAGTGGCTTAAATGAAGAGATGATGTTAACAAGGATTCCAGACTTCTTCTTGAGTTCCATAGAGAAGGGCATTGATAGAGCTGCCTGGTCCATTGTGCAATTGACAGTAGTGATTGTACTCATGGCTGAATTTGAGGCAGAGGCTTGGCTTCAACTTGCATGCCTGCCATATGTGAGCATTGTGGATGGAAGCCCATTCAATCAGAACAGGAGGCTTTTGGCAATGAGTGAGAAGCTGGAAGGCTTCTCATCAGGTGAATCTTCATTATGTTTCTACTTCTTAGATCATATGAGAATACTATGTGTATGCCCAACAAGTCCTTAAAAAGAAATTTTTTCCTTTTCAATTAGATGGAAATTTTGACATGCTCTGTGTGATCCCAAGGAACATTCCTTGGAAGCTGCTGGTCATACGACATCTCATGGCAACTCTTGGGGGAATGGAAATATTGTCAAATAGTTTATCTTTTGCCATCGCCACATTGGGAAGCTCTGGGTCAATTCTTCTGAAGGAATATGTGGAAGAGCTGGGGAAACTGAAGGCGAAGATGTCTTTCATGCCAAGCACTAAAGGCCTTACTGAATCTCTTTTTGATCTCTTGTGTGCCCTTAGCCTCTCAACTAGGTTTGACAACAGGTAAGCTTGTCCTTTGCTTCCATTGTCAGCAAGTACACCCATGTCATTCATAACCTTCATTGCATCCTTATGCCTATTCCATGGATCTTCTAACTCCTGTTTACTCTTTTCTGCTCTTGTGCATCTGAACTTCAGTAATCTAGCACTCTTGGTGATTTGAACTGGAATAACTGTTTGGGCAGAAATTCTGCAAAACCTACTAACACAGAATCTCTACTCAATGTAAATGCTGTTATTCTGTAACTCTATGGATGAGTTTTCTAGTCCATGGACCATTCTCCGTTAATCTGCACTTGTTAGCAGAAGCAATGGTATGCAATAGAAAAAGTTGTCCCTTGTCTTGCATCTCTACTTCCCTTCACCCTAGGAATTAGAAAGAGGCAAGAAGCACAAATTGAACCCATATCTCCTTTGATCTCCAGCCCTTCCTTGAAATTGGTATTGGGGATTACCCTCCTCCTTGAGACACTCTTAGAGCAGAAAATTTTTAAAAATATCTTCTGCATGACTAGTTGAAAGAACTGAATCTGTGGTACTCATTCTCATGGGGAAAGAAAAACAATAAAAGTGGGCATTTAGCAGTACCCCAAGTGAAGTTTTTAGTGTCAGGTTTCAATATTCTGGATGAGCTGCTAATCCTGACAAAATTGCCAATCTCCTGAAGTCTGGATACTCCCATGTAACCTGAAGAGGCTTCTTCTTTCTGTAGTGATATCGAGGACATGAAATGGAAGTTGAAGCTCAGATGTTTCCATTGTGGAAGAGATTCAGCCAAGAAATGTTCTCCTGAGGATCTCAGAAGGATTTCCGCCTTACTAAAGATGATCTTGACTGACTCAAATGAGTATGATCTTCTCATTGCCATGGTCACATTGGAGAAGAGCATTGGAATTCATGTTGACTTGACCAAAGAAATCCTGGAGCCAATCCTTTCTCTCCTAAGTCATAAATCTTACAGTGTGCGCATGCAGGTCTCAGCCTTGTTGCCAAAGCTCCTTTTTGGGAAGGATGGGAAGACATTTACCATGGTTGAAGATGGAGAAGAAGATGCATTCCATACTGTTCAGGTTGAAATGCTCAATCACAAACTATCAGAAGTGGAGCAATATGTCCTGGATGAAGTGAACCGAGTAATTTCTGAAGCCCAGAACATCACAACTAGCGTCACTGGCTATTATGCCATCTGCTCCCTTGCCAGGTTCTACAACCTCTTTCATTTCTTTTTTCTGAACCACCCATCTCCTTTCCATGCTTTTATTTTTCCTGTTCCAGGCAAGGGTATGCTACTCTAGAAACACTTTCAGAGAAATGTGAAAGCTGTAAGGTAATGGTAGAGAGCAGGGATGAATCAGAAGAATCTATTACTTCAATTCAGAATTCATAGCAATGAATGGTTTCATGTTGAGAAAATTTACTGCTCCTGCCATTCCAACTTTACTGTTCTGTTTCTTTGACCACATGCACAGACCACAACTAACACAATACCAATGTCAGTATGATGTTAGGCTGCATTCTTTCCTTTGGATACTAGTATCCCACTCTTTATTCTCAAAAGCAATAGAGGCAACTGTATTTCCTGAAGTTGTTACATGGAGTCGTTACTGCTCTTGCTATTACTAAACCTCAGAATAAAAAATATCAGAAAGCAAATTCATCTTCAAATTTTTGAGTGGAACTCATGGGAAAATTCCCTAAATGCAAATATAGGAAGAGTTTAAGAAAAGTCTTGTACTGTTTCCAAAGTTGTGATCTTTTTGAATGTTTGAATGTGACACAAGCAGAATGATCATAGTGTGCAATGTCTCTTCTTGGATAGTGTTGGGAGACTTCAAGCAGAGCTGGTGACTGGGATCCTGGAAGGATTGGTGTCACCAGAGCCAGTGGTTGGTGTGACTTGTCGTCAAGCTCTGGAGCAGGCTCTTCATCTCCTCCCTCTAACACCTCGACAATTCTGCCTCATTCATAGAAGGAATATTGCCAAGGTCAAATATCCTAATCCTCTTGTTTCAGAATAAAAGTAATATCCCTGATGAACTTGTGTAGCTGTTTGGCATACAACTTGAACTGAAGTGGGAAGGAGAATTAATTTCCTTAACAAAAAAACAATAATAATTTCTTGCAGGGAAAATTAATCATTTGAAGAATAGCACTCTTGAGTTCAGATGGGCTGTGGATGACAGCAATTAGGTGTACTTAATGCATGACACATTATTGTCCGTATTTATTTGTAAAAAAAAACTTTTAACATTTAATCTGGGTTTTTTGAAGAGCTTTTAACCAGTCTAAAGCACTGATGATTTTCATTTTCTCCTTTTTAAATGAACAGATTCTGGCATCTTATCTAATCGAAGCTGATGGAAATGGAGTGGATCCTGCTGTTCCACTGCAAAGTGTTGCTGAGAGTTTGGGCTGTGTTGATGCCAAATCCCTGGCACTAGATCTGTGCAATCACATAGTGTCTCGTCTGGTTGCCTGGGCTGCATTAGGCAATTCTTCCTCCCCCCTCCGCAAGTTTCTTACCTTCCTCAACAAACGATACAAGCCCACCTTCTCCAATGCATTTCCTGTAGGTCAAGATATAACTCATCAGGGTGCTTTCCCAGGCAAATGTCAGAATTGTTGATTGTCTTTCTTTCCTTGTTTTGTGTTTTTTTCCTACCTAACTGCATGTGCAGAACATCTTTGTCCTGGCAACATATGAGGGTCTAGAGCTGGAGAAGATCTTGACTTTTGTGAACCAGGAGACTGAAGGACGACTTCTAGATGTCATGCGTTCTGCTGCACAGGTTTCCATTCAATTTTATTCCTTCTTGAAATGGACAGAAGAAGAAAAAGGTAAAAAGTACAACACTTTCTTGGTATGCAGCACTCAGGATGCTAACATTTTCTATGGCACATTTTGCCTTGGATGAGATGGTGGAGGGAATAGAGGAGTTTTTGCTAACTTATTTCACCTAAAAATAGACTCTAATGGTAGGAAGAATGGAGTCTCTATGGCCATACTGAAGCAATTTGAGATTTTTTCCATTTTAACTCTCAAATTTAATGACCCACTTGAGCCTTATTCCTGTCACACTAGTGTACCACAGTACACTAGTTGGGATTCACTGCCATATTTCATGAAGTGGCATTAGACATTTGTGCTTTTTGCTCCTGACAGGACTTGCAAAACGAATTGTTGCTCCAACTCTCCTCAAATATGGATAGAGGAAAGATGGCACTGAAAGTCCTTATGGATTTAGAAGCTGAAACTTCAAACTCCCAGTCATGCAACAACATTGTAAGTCCACCTGAAAGGGAAGAACCTCTTTGCCACACCAATTTGGTAGTCCTTTGCAGGTTATATTGTAATTTCAGAGTACATTCCTCATGCCTCGGATCTTGGGGGTCCTGTGCTTCCTGAACCGTCGGATGCAACATCCCGGGATTGCCCTTGTTGACAAAAGACGCATTGTCTCTTCTCTGGCAAAGATCATAGAGCTACTTCAGTGTGAACACTTGACCACACTTCGCCATAACTTCATTTCCACCCTTAAGATTGCAACATCCTTCTCTGATGCTGACTTCCCTCTTCTAGCAGTTGAAGCCTGGCTTCAATTTGCTTACAAGTGAGTTGTGGATTTCCATTCCCTAGAATAGAATGCTACAGCAGAAAATTTAGTTTTTTTTTGCAAAAGCTTCTGAGTTCTTGTTCTGTATCTTGTTCTTGTTCTGGGGGTCTATCTGGAATTCAGAATCAAGATGCTTGGTAAGAAACCATATCATTTTCGTTGTAAAATTATTAGCTAAAGAAATAAGCTTGTCCCAAGATGAGTGTGGTACTCACACTTCCACAGTATGTGTCCAGCATATGGTGTTTCCTGCTTCTATACTACAGGGTGGGTCAAAAATATCTTCAGTTATCTTTTAACACTTCACAACGTAGTTTCTTGAGAGCTGGAAAATATTGCAATAGTCTCTCTCTAGAACATTTATCTAGCTTTCCACTGATGTCAAGTGATTTAAGATCCAATCTGTCATTTCAATGCAGTTATGCACAGTGTAACAGAGGTTATGCTTAACGGTACCCTACAAGATGTGCTCCAGGTGACGTCCATTCCTTCACTTATAGGCAAGTAGGTGACCTCTTACATGCACTAACTGCCTTTGCTTCATGGCACCAACTCTTCCAGAGCCACCTCTTACACTCTTTATTTAACTGTATGAAAGTCATGCCATGAATCTTTATTCTGTTAACATTACTTGGAAAGCTGAATGATTGTTCTATACAGAGGTGCTATTGCAATTTTAGCAAGCTCTTGGGGACTAGTGCCGTGGAGTGATAAAGATAACATAAGTTTTTTTTGACCCACCCTATACTTGTAAGCCCTCTACTCTCCCTGCTTGAAAGTTAGGTAGGTTTAAATATTCTGGGACTTAGTAACTGAGATATATGTCGTAGGGTTTTGTGGAATTCAGGGGGATTTCGAATCTCCCTAGGGAGAGACAGGATTCCACTAAACCTGCAGGTTTAGCGGAATCCTCTCAAAATCATGTCAATGTCACTACCCCCTATGGAGATTCCATATCTCCCTGGCTTGAAAATTACCGTTCCCACAGCTTCTCCTGCCAAGGGAAATTCTCCTTTTGTTTGCGTTTACGGATTATTTAAGGCTGAAGAATACTGTGTTATAGTCTGTTCCCAACCAAAATTCTTGGATATGGAATCCCCCTAACACATTTATTGTGGGTAGCCATAAAGTGATTAACTGGAATTGACATGTGAGTACCACCCTTTTGGGAAAGAATGTGCAAGGTTGTCAGATTCTGTTGGAATCCTCCCATGGCCACCACGACATCCGCAGGACACTCGCATGAAGAAAATGCATAAAAATCCATATCACGCATTGACAACCCTATCTATTTTTATAACCCTTCCCATAATGGGCAAGGGCAAAACCCTAGAATTTATAGCCCAAAACTTCATCTGTCAAGCTTATTAGCCGTCTTTATTTGGAAGTATCTGAAAACTTTGGTCGGGAATAGACTACAGCTATCAGTGAGAATGCCACGCCTGATTCTGCCTGCCACTAACGAAGAAAGAGAAGGTTGGAAGACAGTGGTTGCATCAACAAAGGCGAAGGCTTTGAGGGCAGAAACAAGCTATGCCAGTGTGGGTGCAGGATCCATTTGCAAGAAGTTTTGTGGCACCAATAGGTGCAGTGTAAAAAAAACTAGGCATACAGTGTTTCCGGATTGACTTTAACCCCCCTACCCCCTTTCTGTGGCGCTGTTGCCTGCAGTGAAGTGAGATACATCTTGTCTTTATCATCATAACTAATGACGTGCTTATAAGCTTCACAAGCAGCACAACAGTAGAGGTGTAAGTGGGTCAGGTCGTAAGATCCCATTTTGAGTATGACACTGCCTGCGTAAGCAGAAAGTGAGTATTGTACAATAAGAAAATTAAAAACGCTGCTGGAATTCACATTGACTCGGGCCGAAACTGTACCATTTGGCAGCAGGGGTCATGCAAAAATAGAAAAGACAAGTAAATATAGGGACTTGGACACAGTGAGTGTCCCTGCCCTCTATCCCCCCTCCTCCCTGATACAGTAGATGGGCTACGGACTTCATCATGGGATTGTGAGATTTTCATTGATAAAGATATTTTATGAGTGAAAGAAAAACATGGAAAAGAAAGCCTTCAATGATACCGAGGAAACGATACCAAGCATATTCGCCCCAGAAAGCACTTCTGTAATGAGTGCTAATGTACGTGCTAAAGATATTGAAATCTTTTGACACACGTCAGGAGGACCTCCTGCATGTCTGGTCCTCTTATATCTGGCCAGTTCTTGAGTACCCCTGCGCTTCCTGGAATAGCTCCTTGCTCAGCCGAGCCGTATTTACCATCAAACAGGTGCAGAAGCATGCCCTGCACTTAATCCTTTGGCATAAATATGAAACTTACGAAAGGCCTTGTTGATCCTGGGCATCCCATCCTTGCAGAAAAGACGACTGGATCTTACATCTAAACACGCCCATGCCCTTCTAAAAAAATCCATCACAATGGCATCCTACTGACAATGCCCACCCATGAACCTAAGAAACATCTCATCTCTCTTGCAAAAGCATAAGTGCCGCACACACAGATTCTACCAGTCAGCAATTCCCTTCATGACCTGCTTGATAAGCCAGAAAACTACCAGAGAAGACTGCCACACTGGCTCAGTACAACCCCCTTAATTTTGTTACCCTTTCTATGTCTACCCTTTGACGATGGAATGTAATTTGCTAATGCACACTTATTCCAGAACCATGAATAAATCACTATCATTATTTTATTTTTATTTATTTATTTATTTATATTGAAATCTTCATTCAAATGTAATTTAATTACTTTATATTGAGCTTAAATATATGATTTTGCCATATACTTTGCACATAATACTTTTTCGACTCTGACACTGGTCACTGACCACTGTCTTACAGCGAGATCGAGGACTCGATTACGCTTCTATTGCTTGAAGTGGCATTATTGCTTGTGTTAGAAGTACTACTTTGCTAAGTGCCAACATTGAAAAGTATGGAGCCCATGTTAATGGGGGTTAAAGTCATTTCAGAAACACTGTAGCATGCTCATCCAAGTGTCACTGGGGAAAGCTGTGCAACCTCCCAAAATAAGACAAGTATATTGTTAATTGACTCCGCTTCGAATCTTATTGACGTTGATTTTTTTCTTTCTATACATGGACTGAAATGAAATTCCATTTCCCCCAGGTGTCTTGATAATTCTCTTTCTCCCTAGGGGTAAACAAAATGATGGAAGCATTGGCAGCTAATCTGGGTGATTTGGAATCCCCCTAGGGGGAGGTGACATAATGGAGGTTTTCGAGAGGATTCCACTAAACCCGCAGGTTTAGTAGAATTCTGTCTCTCCCTAGGGAGATTCGGAATCCCCCTGAATTCCACAAAACCTTACGACATATAGACACTTCTCATGTGGAAGGAAGTCGAAGGCTAAGGTTGAATTGCAATCCACTGCAGATGTGCTCATAGCTCACATGAATATCCCATCAAGCTCTAGAAGTCAGTCACATCTGAGCTGAAGTTCTTAGTTAAGAATGACATGTGCCTTTAGCCCCCTTCTATATGTATAGGTATAATATTACCAATTTTCTGGATGTCATCTGTTTTCCACTCTGAAAAACATTTCACCCTGGCACTGAATGGTTTGAGTGTGCACTATGCAGGACTATGTTCAACTTTATCTCATTAAAGGATACAAGAAAATATTGTGGTGCAGAAGAAGATACTGAAACTTTAGCTGACATGGTTTCAGGGAGCATAATTTCTTTCATGTGACTGGGGTATGATGTTTTGTCATTCTGTGGTGCCCCTTCTGATGAAGTCAATGTTGCATGCTCATGTACTTTCTGATTTTAGGTATTTGGGGGATACTCACAAAGTAATCCCAGTGCAATTTACAGGCACCACAATAGTGATTGGAGTGATGGGGAAGGCTATAAAGGAATAAGGAGAAAATCTGAATAGAAGAGAGTTTTCCCACACTATTTGTTGTGAGCCCCTAATGCTCCAGGGATTATACACCTAAATTGGTTGCAATGCTGACTTGCCTGCTTTAATGATTCCCTGTGAATCCTGTGGTCTCTGTCATAAAAACCTAGAGATTTGTATATGTTGCTCTCATACCACTGATGAAGGGGTCTGGTTCCTTATGTCACACATCAGGATGTATAAGTCTCATCATCATCTTGCATGCACACTTGAAACAGTGAGGGACAGGTAAGCTTTCTTTGGGGTTGGGAAAGGCTCTTGTTAAAGGTTGCTTAGGGTACTACTGGATTGTATATCAGCTGATGATTCCCCAGTCCACCATTGTTCATGGAAAGAAACTACATTTATACAAGACCATCTTTGTGAGAATGTAAATTATTGCAAAACTCCAGTGGTCTCAGCAACATCTTAAAATAGGATATCAAGATTTCCGTTAAGTCTAGTTGTAGTACATTAGGAGTACCATATTGATATCTGCATTCTGCATTCTTTTTCCTGTGCTCTATGAGGTATGCTCAAAAGCAGCAGGTCCCAAATTGTGGCACGCAAGAGGTTTCCAAACAGACTTATTTTAAAAGACTTGCATTATAAATACTAATCTTAAATACAGTGTGTTCCATTTAAAATGCAACCCAATAACAATCACATATTACAGTACGAAAATGAAGTCTTGTCTTGTCTTTGAGAAGGTGGTGGACATTTTCAGCATCTGCTGTGAAGCTATTCTGTATGTTCCTGTAATATTCTTCTTAACAAATAAAAACTATCAAACAACTTGTTTGTCTTGTTTTATTGCTGTTGTACTTTAGGTTGCATTTTAAATGGAACACTCTGTATTTTGTGGGATATGCATATGTGAAACAAGTGGTGGTATGCTATATATGCACCCTGGAGGCAAGTGGTACACAGAGGCAAAATGTTTAGGAGTTGCTGTTCTAAAGACTTAGAGAGATTCTTGGGAGTGCCCCCATGATGTCTGCCATCCCTTTTCTTAGCTCTGTAGGCATTATTCTTTGCTGTTGGCCAAATGATTCACTGCAATCCTTTCTCACCCCCAGTGTCCTTTTGTCTTAAGTTTTTAGCTATTGGCTCACTGGTAATTTTCCAAGTAGAAAAATATGTTAATGGCAGCATTAAAAAATCCCAGGTATTTAGTTTTTTGGTTAAAATTGAATTTTGTAGGATCAAGAAGGAAGTCCTACCATCACTGATGGCTGATATGGCAATAGCAGTGCAGCCTCTTCTGGAGTCAGTTCCTGAGAGTGCATCACAAGTCATCAACTTCCTCCTCATTGAGAATCGCAATGCTCTGTTGGAGTGTCCACATGACCTCACTTTCCTCCCTCACATCCCTTACCTGGATCATGCCTGGAATGTACTGCAGGAAGTCCAACAGGGTCAAAGGAACAGGTGGATGTTGGAGTAGAAAATATCTTCATCCAGTAATGAGTACTCTTCTCTGAAAGAATTATGTTGAATATTGTAATGAGGGCAGGAGCCAAGGACTGTCAAAGGAATTACAAGATGCTCTACGAGGTGTGAAGGAGGAAAACCTAGATCTCCGCTGGCATGGTCTCAGGAAACTTCGGGACCTTCTTACTCAGAATCAGAGGGATGTGCATCAACTCATGCTCCTGAATGAAGATGTGGATCCTGTAATCCCTCAGGTATGGTATCATGTGTAGTTCCATACCCAAAAAGGATTTCCAATGAAATCTAATGTCAATATCATGTTGTCATCCAAATACAACAATGATGAGATATTATTTCTTATCTTTCGGTGAGGAAGATGGTGAGCACATTAATGCAGTCTTGTAGAGAACAAGATGAAGTGATGAGAGCCCTTGTTGGGGAGTGCCTTGGTGCCATGGGGGCTGTAGACCCTGGGAGGCTTCATATTGTCAACCGCTTTCAAGGTAAATATGAAACAAGCATGCAGTGAAATGCAACAATACCAGTCATCCTCCCTCAGTCTTCAGTAAAATAGAGGAGTGTATCTTGTCAGAGATTAGAGGAAACAGTGAGGCACCCAACTGGCATGATCCAACCAATTACATATACCTCCTGATGTGTTGACTCATTTTCTAACTTGACTTTTATTTGCTCATACACTATACTCAAAGAAGTTTTGGAACACCCCCACTTCCAACTGTTTATGGACCTTATGATTTGCAAATTGCACTAGGGTCACGGGGACTATACCTTTAAAACGTGTAACTGCACCACAGGACCTCAATCTGTTGCAAGATGTGTGTAGTACACATGAAAGGCAAGCTAACCTTACAGGCATTATGCATGCTTTTCAAGAAGCTGCAAGTATATCTGTATGAGTAAATGTATATTAAAATTTGTTCATGAGCATGTATATCACAGATGAGGAGGGAACATAACACATGATCATTGGGCCCTGTTCTTACTGATTGCATTATTAAGCATTCCCCTATATCAAGTTTTATTTGATGGCCCAACATTGTTCTGAGAATCTTTGGAAAGCCCAGTTCTATATTGCCTCTGTCAGTCACAGATGGTAAATCTGTGACAAATAGTACTGTAATGGGAGATGTAGGGAAGGAGAGAAGAAGAAAGTAGAAGAGGATGCCTGGAGGCAGTGTGAATGTTAGGATGGAATGAAGTAGTTCTTCAAGATTTCCTAATTTTTAAATTTAGTCTGTAATAATTTTATTACTTAAATTAAATTTTTCTGGAAACAAATAGATGCCAAGTATATGTAAATTTTTGTGCTATGTTAAGAATGTAATGAAGTGTAAAACTAATTCTTGAGCTAACTCATGAAACCTTTGTGTTGACAAAGATAGACCGATACCCTTTTCCATAATTTGTTCCATTTTTCATGTTCAAAGAAAAGAGGCTTCATTTAAAAAAAATAAGGTTCAATATTGTTTATGGATGTGTATTGGAGATGTCCCTCTTCCATGCCCAGCCATGCCAACAACATGTGCTTTCTCTTCCTTTCAACTTCAGTCAGTACATCAGTGTTCTACATGTCAATGGGAGATGAGGAATTCCTCAAGGAAATGATTCAGGAATTAACAAGAGCCTTTCTTGCTGCCCAGAGCCCTGGTTTCCAAGACTGCTGTTCCTATGCCCTCCAGGTTCATAACACTAACTAGTCACTTGCTTCATCTCATCTGTTTTATGGTTCAACTATGTTACATTTATGGTGTAGGAAGTGCTAAAGGTCTTGGATGTTGGAAGCCCTGGAGATTCCAAAGGAGAAGGGTTCTGGGCCTCTTTCCCTGAAGAAATTCGAGGTATTCTTTCCTTCCTCCTCCATACAAAGTACATAGAGGCCTCAGATGTCCCCTCAACCTTTGCAATACCCATCTACAAGTGAGATGACTCATAATCTATGCTGCTTTTTGCCTTTTCTGGAAACTAGTGTAGGATATTGTCTGATCATTGTTTACTACAATAATCAGGACTTGATGGAGACCTGATTTTAAAAAATTTGATGGTATCCTGGTCAATGTTGCAGAATTGAGGAAAGAAGCTGCTGTAATTATTCCAATTTCAGATGGGAATCCTGTGGAATTATTCCATTTCAATTTCTGCCTTCAATTCAATCCACTTTCACCTAAGAATGGGATCTCAGCACATTAACCACCAAAGGGTAAAACACTTGTCTTTCCTGTGGTACTGTGTGACATGCCAGCATGTCACATAATAGTTAACATGTTAAAGTTACAAAATTGGGGGGGGGGGGGATCCCAGAAAGTTCAAGTATTAGACACTATGCACACCTAACATGAGGCTAACACTTGAAAGATGAAATGTTCAAGGTGAAACACCCAACCACTACGCTGACTGGAACCAGGATCCACATAGATGTAGAAGGCCAAAGGATTGAGGATGATAGAGAAAAACGTGAAATGGTGCCTCAAACAGGAGAATTTATTATAAGGGAAGACCACCATTTCAAGGACACGAAGTCCACTTTATCAGGGTTAACTTCAAAGTTTGGAAAAAATGTTTTCCAACCAAAATGTTTGGGTTGGAAAACATTTTTTCTTAAAATTTTTCTCTGGTTCGAGGTGCCTTTTCACACTTTTCTCTGTCACTTGAAAGTTGGGACAAGCATTAGATGATTCCAACATGAATTTTAGTTGTAAATTTTAGGAAGGTAGCAGCCATGACAATGGCCATGTGTCAGTGAATCTCAATTGTTAATCATGGCAAAAATGCATTATTGTTGGGCTTGAAAATCTTGTGATCAGTGCCTGTCCCATCTCAATCTTACATTTATCATGAATCATCAATTCCAGTGCCTCTACAGTGATTGAGCTCTTCTTCCCAGACTGATACCAAGAATAATTATGTCTCAGCCTGCTTCATTATAGAATTCAGCAGCCATCTGATGTATTGACTTGTAATGGCCTAAAACCATGTCAACCTAAGGAAAATATGGTAATTGTAATAGACTATCATATGATGATGACTTATTGATTGAAGACAATAGGTCATTCCTTTACTTTCCCTTACAGGAAGGATGGAATGTGGTTCAGTGAATGGTTGGGTCAATGGACATTAAGCCTTTCTGCAATGGTCACGGATCCTATGACTAAAGGATTGTTGAAGGCATGTAAGCCTCTCCTTCGTAAAGATGTCAACATTGCAATTTTCCTTCTTCCTCATGCTCTACTCCAAGCTGTTCTACAAGGATCTGACCAAGATCGTGCCAACATCCTCACAGAAATCCTCACCATACTCCGGGTTTGCCATCCTACTGATGTTCTGGTTGCTTCTAGTTCCTTATAAACCCCAGCTATGGTTTGAGATATGATGAAGAATGGCTGAAAACCACGAGACACTGATCAATGTCATATATGGTCAATATTTAGCTTGCTAATATCTATTACAATTTTCTATAGCAGTAGCAGTATAACTTAAGTTGATCTAATAATCATCTCAGCAGAAAATTATCTGAAGGGAAATGTGCTTGAAAAATAAAAGTTGGCAACTTTCATTTGTTTTTTTATGTCATTTTTCATTGATAAAGGGACAGATTTGGAAGAATGCAGAATTCTAAGACCCTTTGATTCAGATATTAGGAATGTTGCAGTTTTCACTGGTACTTTTGGGGAAAATGTTTTAGTTTGGAATAGGGTAACCAGGGGTGTAGTGGACCACCCAGTAGTAGTGGACCACTCCTAAGTTTTACTGCTATAAGATGCAAAAAAAGCTTCAGTTGCAATCTTCCCTTATGTTAGCATTAAGAAGTAATGTTCCCCTCAAGGGTTTACAGAAAGTCAGTGACATCTAGGATCCTTTGTAGGCTCTAAGTTTTTCCTCTTAATTTCCCTCCCAAAAGTGCAGCATTCACAAGTTTTTTGAACTTCAGCACATGTCTCACAAAAAACTCATTGAAGGTAGGTAATCTGGTTTTGTTGCATCAATTTTCTATATCAGTTACTGAAATGACTCGCCACAGATCATGTTAGAATCAAAAGTCATATGATTTAATGCCTTGTTTCAATAAATATGGGGTGGTCAACTACTGTATGCCTGAGTTAGCCATCTTGGGTAATAGTGGACCTCCCCAGTCCACTACTATCTTGTGGCTGTATGGCCTAAGAACGAGGCTCCGCTTTGTTATCCTGCAGCTCGACACTGTAAATGTATAGGTCTGATGGAATGAGCTCTTGAACACGTGTTTTTACAGTAGTGGACCGGGGGTGGTCCACTACTGGTGGATCAACTGATAGTAGTGGACCATACGCCCAATTTAGATCAATCACTGTTGAATGATTGATGACTGAGTTTCTTTCCTGACATCAATGATGATGAGGTGGATAAAGATTTTGAGTACCAATGTCCACAGTGCTTCTTCTTAGATAGTGACAGCGGTAGTGAATTGACTGTCTGAACTGAGTGAACTAATGGGTTTTCTAAGTCAAATGTGGTAATAAGGAAGTCAAATGCGACAATGAAAGTCAAATGTGTCGCTGTGTCGGTTGTCTGATTTTAGGGAAAAGCATGTTTGACATAAGGAAATCAAAAGCAACAGTTGAATTTCTTGACCCTGCCGGGAGACATATGCCCCCTTGTTGCATTTATGTTACATGTGGCTCCTTACATAAATTCACCAATGTATTTGCATGTGATGCCACTATTGCCTATAACTATAACGTTTCATATCAGATCATGAAGAATGAATGTCATCAATTGCAAGAATAGATGCCAATAATGTATGCTATCATTACCAGGATTGTTCCATGGACTGTGTTGCCATCAAAGTTAGGGAGAGGAGCCCAAGTTCTAGGGAAAATGGTGGAAAAAACATTTTGAGGTCACATATGAATGTGCATATGGAGCCCTGTGCAACGGAAACGCAATGAGAAGATACACGTCTCCTGGCACGGCCAAGAAATTCAACTGTCGCATTTGACTTTCCTTGTGGCATTTATTAATAACTTTATTACCACATTTGACTTGAAAAACCTATATGTGCAACTATTCTTGTAGTCAATAACTTACATTCTTAATTATCAGACATGAAACGTTGCCAGTACCATGAATGCTTTAGTGACATCACATACAAATGGATTCATGAAGTTTCATATGTAGTCGTATGTAATGAGAATTAAAATGCAACGAGAGGGCACATGTCTCCCTGCTCAACCAATAAATTCGACTTTCACATCTGATTTTCTTATGTCCAACATGCTTTTTCCAAAAATCCGACATCCAGCACAGCAACACATTTGACTTTCCTTGTCGCATTTGACTTTCATTTTTTCATACTTGTCTTAGAAAACCAATAAATGGATGTAGAACCCGGCAGTAATAATATAGATCAGTCTGCTGGAAGTGGTCCACCACTGTCCAGCCGGTCCACTACCGTCTTTCCATGGTCTACCTTTGTACTTTCAAGGTTAATAAAAGAGTCATGTAATTAGTGAGAAACAATGCTGACTTATATACTTCTTTGGGTAACATTTTCGTAGATAATATTCAGCTCAGTGTTTTTGCAATTGATGACACAAGTCAAAATGAGTGATTCTCTCTAGAGGATTCCCTGCAGATCCACCCAAAAGTGGTCCACTACTACCCTGGTCACCCTATGATACACTAAGGGAGATCAATATGGGATATTTTGGTTGAGTGCAGTCAGATGGGTGTGAACCATACTTCACAAAGCATGTGTTCTTTCTATTTTTGTGCAAATTGATTGCAGGAACTGTGATGTGCCCACACAGGACCTTATACTACTGTCTTTTTGCCATGCAAAGCATAGCCACCATTTGGTGGTTAAAATGTATCAGTACAATTAGTACAACAATGGCTACAATATATCAGTGTATTATATATATCTGTAGACTACATATTGAATTGACCTGTAATGGGTATCCATTTTTATCAATGTTATTTTGACATATATGTAGGATATCCAAGAAGAGGGAGATGGAGGTGAGATGCATGAAGAGAGGGTTCATCATGCTCAGACTATTTTTGCTGCCCTGGACCATTTAACCAAGTGGCTTCCCAAGAGACATGAAACCCATGGAAAATCAGGTCGCAGGGGAGATGAGGTCAAGACTGCCCTCCAGGACCCACAGTACCAAACCGTTAAAGGTTTGTCTTTAGCTCTTCCATTCTTTTCTTTTGATATTTGGCTTCTTGCACCTGTTGTGGGTTCTCAGGGTTCTTGAAGCAGATTCCTGACATGCTGTTGGCTGAGGCAGCACGTCATTGTGCAGCATATCGACGTGCTCTTCTCCATCTTGAGAAGCATCTCAAGTCTCACCCCTATGAAATCCAGAATCAGCTCAATTTCCTCCAGGTACCTGACTTAACTCTCTTACTGCTGTGAGCCATCATGATAGCTTTCCCAAAGCACTTTGAATATTCCACATGCTGCCGTGACAGCTTGCTGTTTTATTATATCCGGTTCACTTATGTTTTTTTTTTAAAATAAATTATAACTAGCACAATATGAAAAAAAAGTAAAATTTCCTTGTAGTGCCTTGATAAAATTTGGTAGTCAAAGGGTTAAGATGTCATTGCTCGTTTGGAACTCTCTTTGGATGTGTTGCAAACTGCATCTTGTAGGAACTGTACCTGCATCTGGATGAGAGCGATGGAGTGGTTGGAGCAAGAGCTATTAGGGCTAGTGCACCATCTCTCACCCAGGAAGTCAGGGAACATCAGGCAGCTGGTCGGCTTCATGATGCTCTTGCCTGCTATGAACAGGTTCAGCCAGCAACTATTGAGTCTCCCAAAAAAAGAATTTACAACAAAACTACAGGAGTATTCCTTCTCTGTCATGGTATCATGTGACCATTCCAGGCACTTCGCCAGGACCCACTCAATGTGGAACTATCGATTGGACGACTTTGGTGCCTCATGGATTTGGATGCTCCACACACTGTTCTTCTCATGTCTCGTGGGATCTCAGAACAGACGTATGACAATTGACTCTCATTATAACGAAGTCAATGAAGCCACTGGAATTATTTTACTGTATCAGGTTTTTTTATATTTTTTTTATCATCTGGAAAGTGTCATATACCTCAGTTTAGAGGACTAAATCCATTTTATGCCTCTGTAAACATGTTTCATCATCCTGTGGGTGGGTGTGTGGGGCCCAATGGCTTTTGAGGGTTCCATGAACAACAGTATTTCAACACATTAGCTACTACATATTCCCAGGCAGGTCACATGGCCTGGCAGTTAAAGTGTTGGGAAAATGTACTGGCAGCTGTTTTAAATTCATAAAAGCCCCCCCTGTGCATGCAGCAAACACCTCCTAAATTCTAGTCAAATGAAACTTGGATGGGATGAATGGAGCAAAGGAGCCTGATACCTGCCATTGATAAAAGAGCTGAGTGTAGCACTGAAGTGCTTCATTCACTCTCATTCACCCATGTTCACATCTGCCATGTACATATTCACCCAGGTTCACATCCCCCCTGTCACATAAATTGTACATTCTACATTTGCCAAATCCTTCATTATTGTTAGTTGTGCTGCTGAAGCACCAAGGTGAAGGGCTGAATGGAGGTAAGAACTGACCCTTTTGCATTTCCAAAAATTTTTCTTCTTGATTGGAAAAAATTCATTTTTCCAGTGCCCTTTCTGTTATGGAATATGAAAGCATGTTTTTAGCATGTGTGTCTTTGGACATTCAATCAGGTAACACCACAGATTTCAGTATAACCAGTTTTTTGTTATTTCCCTTTTCATTCTACCAAGAATTAACTGCATCTGCTGGTAGTGTTGAAGGGAATCTCTCCCTGCATAAAGTGAGTTTATTTTTCAGGCCACAGCTAAAGAGTGCAGTGGAGGAGGTGCAAGCAGAAGCAGCCTGGCGCCTTGGTCAGTGGGATGGAATTCCAGAAACTAAGGATCATATGTCATGGTCTTTAGGCCTGGCTCAGGCCCTGAAAAGCATCCATGATGGAGACTGGGACTCCTGGCGGAAGCGACTGAATGCCCTTCGTCTTCAACAAATGGGCCTTCTTTCAGCTGCCAGCCTGGAGATGGGTTCCTATGATCGAGGATACCTTGAGATCCTGCGGTCTGTCTGTTCCACATACTGTTTAGGCCTATCTAATTGGCCTTCACATCAGAGTACATTTAGGCTAGGTCATTGTACTGGGTGTCCCATTTAACCCCTTTCCCATGGATGACGTACATACACATGATTTATTATCTCAATTTTCAAAGTTGTAGAGCTATGATGAAAATCATAGCTCTGCCTGTTTTTCATTCTTCATACCTGTTTCTCTATACCTTCCTACGTATGATGTATATTTACGTCATGGGACTTGGCGCCTAGCTGAGGCTGGAATAATACCATTGGGATGCTGGGCTGGCTCAGTCAATCCCATGGTCAAGGGGTTAAGAGGAAGCATAAGGGGAATTATTTGTTTGCTTTGATGTTCCGCTCTCAAATTGTGCTGGGTGTCTTAGAAAAAGTTCAGAGTAAATGGAAAGAATGCCTGAATAAGTGCATCAACAATAGTGCTTGACAGGTACAGCATATAGTATAATTGTACTTTTTTTTCTTGTTTCCTCTTAAATGGAACACCCTAAAGTATGTGATCAACATTCTATACTTTTCCTATGAAAAATTCAAAGGGCATCTACTGCCCATCAAGATGTCAACCTCAAAAGAATGTGAAAGACCTTTATGAGATCCTTATACATAGTGAGCCAATAAATTCAGGACTACTTTAAAATTTTTCAAATAATTCTTTAAAATAATTTCACTGGCTTGGATATGAATTCCTATTTCAGTGGGCCTGATCAAAAAATGACAAAGAACTGAAATTGAGTTCATGTTACATATATATAAAAATATAAATAGGGTGGTCAAAAATACTGGACACATAAAATATGTGTAAGGTGTATATATTTTCAGTAAATACACAGATGTGAGATGCTTGTAGTATACTATAATGCACCATCCTCATTGTACATTATAGTTTACTACAAACTTAGGAGTTCTGAGGAGAGAATATTCATGCCTGGTTCGTACAGTATTTTGTTTATCTATTAAAAATAATTCCATGTAAATGTGTGCCTCTTTCTTGAATGCACTGGTCACTGTTTCACATAACTTTGTGAATTGTGTCCATAAGAATTTGGTTATTTTAAAAATTCCATGTGTCAGCAATGGTATGGTATGGTTCTTGGGACTATGGTCTGGTTTTTTTATCCTCCCCTAGGATGATCCAGAATTGTTCATACTCCTGAAAATGTTTTGTTAGTGCCTTAAGCAATTTTGAAAGTCCATGTTGTTCAGCACAAAAACTCTCACAAGCACTAAAAATTAGGAGAAACATCTCTAAAATATTTTGTAGTATGATTTATACATGCTACCATACGTTATTCAAATTGTCCTGGAACTTTCTGAAAATGACTAACAAAACCAGGGCTTGTTTTCTGAAATGTTTCTTCGGATGTGTAAGAATGATGACAAATTTATCTGGAATCTCATCATATTGGACAAATTGCATTTTGAACTCTTGTGAACAAGCAAAACATACAATATTTGGTTGAAGAGAACCCGCAGAAGTTACACGAGAAACCCTACACAGTGACCCATGCATAGCAGTGAATACAAGAAAGAGGTGGACATTTAGGTAGTGTTATTTTTAATAGCTATGCATGATGTAAACCAGACATGAATATTCTCTCCTTAACCTTAGAAATACCAACAGTTGATAAAGTCGACATTGGTAGGCTGCTGTTTCTGACAGTTCCAGGGTTAAAACTCCTAATTTGTTGCATATTATGATGTACAAATTAGTTTAACTACTTTTAAAAAATATACATCTTACAAAGCTTTTATAAGTGTCTGGAATTTCTTGGCCACCCTGTATGTACAGTCACCACCATATTGTGACCACTTTAAGTCAAGTTCAAAATGATCACTATTAGTGATTGATCACTGCATCAGACAGGAAGTTTGTGAGTTAAGGAATGAAGGGTTTCAAGCTTTTTGGCTGCTTTTCTCTGCCACATCTTTGCAGCTTACCATTGCACCCAAACATTTCCTTCTCCTTGCCTCCTTTGTCAAAGCTTTCCTTTTTGTTTTTAAAGATTTTATATCAAAGCTGAATGTTGGGGGATGATTTTCATCCTTGTTGGGCATAAATATTGAAAATGTGACAGGAAGGAGCATTTCCCCCCCTTTTCAGGCAACTAAGATTGCCTAATCTGATCACTGTATCTGATGGACTGGGCCGACAAAAATTGCTAATAAAAAAGTGGCTGATCACTATATCCATTATCACAATAAGCAGCAACAACAGTATTTGTTAAGTAGATAGCCTTGTAGTACAAGTTCCTAAACCAAAATACTGCCCAAGATTTTATCCACTTACATTGGTAGTAGGCTTCTGTATCATCCCTTTAAAAACGAAAAATGTTACCCCTCTCTATCTCAGGCACTGTCAGTCAGCATCAGCCATTGATAATTATGATAAAGCATCATTCAAAATCTGGCTTTATCGGAACGCTACATGATGCCCCTTACTTTCTTTTCTTTGCCTTGGTAAGCAGGTATGGTGGTATAATTATTCATCTAAATTCATCATGCATCTGTGCACTGTTCTCTTTGGTTCAATGCAAATGAATAAGCTCAATGTTATTAGAATGACCTTCATGATAATTTTAAAATATGTGACATAGAGAAGGCTTCATGGTGTTTATTTGTCCTTTCAGGCTACATATGTTATGGGAAGTGGAGCAGATGGTGAAAAGTCTAATCCAAAAGAGTAATGGGTCATCATCTTCCCTGGAGGAGTGGGTAGAACGGCGGAAAATTGTCCAGCCATCCATTCGAGGGCTGGAGCCACTCCTCCGCCTCAGGCGTTGTCTCTATGGTCTTGCCCAAGATCCTCCTGGCTCTCTTCAAAATGAGATTGGGCTCCTCTGGATCAAAAGTGCCAAGCTTGCCCGCAAGTATGTCCTGCAAGCTCCTGTAAATGTAAATAACTTATTAATGGCCTATTCTTCTCCATATTTAAGGTCAGGGCACATGCAGGAAGCATACAGTCACCTCCTTAGTGCATCCAACTGTGGATTCCATTCCCCTGCTGTAGGGATTCTTTCATAATTGTGTCTTGGATTTAGATCATGTTTGCTGTTTTGTGGTTCATGTGGAATGATTTTGATAGATCTTTCTTGAGGAAGCTAAGTGGCATTGGGCAAGAGGAGAAGCTGAGGCAGCCTTGAATGCCCTGAGACGTGGGATTCAAAAACATTTTGGAGCCATCACAGATGCCTTCAAGACTCCCTCTACCTCATCTTCTGTCAACACCAATGCCTTATCTTCTGCTGATTGCATTGCTGCTGCCAAAGTTTGTCTCAATTGGTTTCTAGAAGTGTTCTTCATTGTGCTACCTCTTAAATCTTGTTTATTTTACCAGGCTTGCCTCTTGCTGGCCAAGTACAACGAAGAGGGAGGATATCTAGATACATTGGTTGTGGCAGACAAGTACCGAGAAGTAATCCAGCTGAATCCAAGTTGGGAAGAAGGATACTTTCATCTGGCACATTGCTATGACCGTATCTCAGTGAACCTTGACAAGGACAAGAAAGTGTAAGTGCATAGTGCATAGTGCACCTGCATAGTGTTCCCATCTTTTCTATGAAGTAATGGGTAGGATCTTCTCCTTGTTGCAGAGATCTGCAAATTAAGGTTGTGAACTACCTGGGTCGATCCCTACATTATGGTCATCGCTATGTGTACCAGAGTCTCCCTCGCATGCTGGGGATTTGGTTGGACTTTGGGTCTCTGGTGGCTGACAATGATCGACAAAAGAAGCCACCGAGCAATTCCAACCTTCCATCAAATGCCCAAGATTCCATCACCAAGATGACATCTCTCATCAGTATGTTGATTTTGAGTCATATGGAATGAGACCATTTAAAAGGAATATGATGCTATTGTCTGGTAAATCTCATACCAGGGTTAGTAGAGAAGATATGGTTTGGGGACTCCCCATTTTCATCTTTGAGAGAAAATGAGACAATCCTCCTCACCACATGGTTTCAGTACAGACCTGTGCAGGTCTTTTTTATAGGAACCTGGCTCAATTGGCCTGCACCCTATCCAAAATCTTGTTGTTAACTGTGCCTTACCACTGAACCCTACCCAACAAGGTATCTTTAAGTTTCTGACCCAATATGGCCTACAGGTTGTCTGGCTAGACCTATTGGGCTAGCCCTCAGCCCATCCATGACTCCAAGTCACAGTGAACATGGCAAGTACATGAATCTCTTGGTCTTGGTCTTGGTCTTGGTCTTGGGTCTGGGTCTGGGTCTTGGTCGAGCGTTCGTAGCGTGAGGACGTGTTGGAGGATACTCTCGAGGTTCTGTTAGCTAAGTCGTGAGTTAGTTGTTACCTGGCTACTTTGTAACAGTATTCATAAGTTTTTCTGATAGCTACCTCCAACTTCACATTAGATCAGTATCAATCAGCTTAATTACTTTAAGTATTAGCTCATTACTCGTAGTATTCCTTTTACTACAAGGACTAGGACAGTACAGTCTTACCGGGTTACAACTGATGTGAAGTACTGCAAAGTATAAGTCTAAAGCAGTAGGAGTGTCAATAGGGATCAATAACATTAAGTAAGATGCCTAGGATGTGTAGATGCGTTCGTTGCGGGGATTGGGTAGGTGGGACTAGTGAACGAGAGGTATGCCAGGTATGCAGAGTCTGTAGCTTGGAGGAGCGACTAGGGGAGCTATCGGGAAGGCTCATTAGCGTGGAGGAGGAGATTAGGGGGATCAGGAAGGAGGTGGGCGAGGTACAGAGGGATGATTTAGTGGCGAGGGTAGTTAGGGTGGAGGAGGCACTCCGGGGGTTCCCCAGCCTTCCGGACTTTACTGGGAGGGTGGCCCTTTCGTCCTTTGACAGCGCGTCGAGTGCCGACTCCCAGGTGGCTAGTAATTGGGCTCAGGTCGTAAAGGGGGCGAAGGTTAAGCGATCCCAGGAGGCAGTCATTAAGACCGAAAACAAGTTTCTCGGGTTGAGGGAGGTCAGCTTGGATGAGGGAACGGAGGGCGGGGTGGGAA